TATATATATATATATATATATATATATCTTAGCTTTTCAGAACTATATCTTATTAGAAACTAAGATCCTCCTCTAGTACATTTTCTTACTATAACACAGTTTTTATATATAGCTTAAAATTATGAAGTTCAAACAATTTCCATCATATTCACTCTTATACTTTCCTGACTGTCTGAGATATTTCTATAATATCAGTCATATTGAGTTCATAGTTTCTAGAACAACCGAACAAGAAAACGAGGAGATGATCTTCATAGCTCTACACTCGTTGAATTAAGTCACCTTGTTCGTTTTTTCACCATTTATACGGCAATTTAAGCTTCAAGAAATCATTGTGATTGGTGCATGTACTTTGCAACCTGAAAAAGTATATAAGAACATCTGTGACAATATACAGGACCAGCCCGTTGTGGGGCATTCAGTTTTGCCAAAGTTACGAGAAATACAAGGAACCAGCCAGCTTTCTATTCGCCTAATTTTTTTCTTGGCACCACACTCTGAATCTTAATACATCATGACGTTGTCCATAGTATCTGCTGGAGAGAATGATATCAAGAAATGAAAATTTCTGCTTTTCCTTCCTCGGATTCAAATTTCATCTATATGACTATTTGGTCTTCCAGTCGAAAAAAATGAAAGCATTTCTTTGCCGGGATTGTAACTCTCCATAAATTTCCCATTTCAAAATGGAAGATATGGTGAGTGAAAGTTGTTAGTTTGTAAACAAGAAATGGTTTTGATTGCAGGACCATGTGATGTGCCCATTACTTTGTTGTGGTGTTTCGGCACTTTTGGATTGACCCTCTTTTTCACTGATTCATTCTTTTGCATTTAGGCCATGGTCCAGACTTTCGAATGAAAAGAATAAACGCATAAAGTTGGTTCAATGCATTTGCATGTGCTTGAAAGCGAACACTCAGGAACTGATATCTGGACTTCACTCAAAATGTGCAGGTTCAGAAATTTGTTTGACCTAAATTATGTAAAACTGATGAACACAAGGAGAGAGAAATAGTTCAACAAAATTCATTCATACAAATCTCGTTATTTGAGTAGATGTAGCAATAAACTCAACAGACTAGCTGATTCAAATTTAACTCAGTGTATACGTTCGAGATTATAGATATGCTCTTATCAAGTAAAATATCAAATGCCAATCACGTTAGAAAATTGATAGCTAAGAGACTAGCCAATACTTAGTTATTAACCATTTCTCCAGTTCTAAAATCAGAATTATCATTAGTACTTGATATACAGAAATCACTTAGCATAACTAAAATACGCACATGAGAATGGCCACCATGTTCAACGAAATTAGAAGTACAAAGGTTCGATGTAAACGAAGTCCACATGAGTTTAATGCATGCAAAGTTTTGACATTATTACAGAATAACCTGAACAACACAGATACTATCAGAGTTATAAGATCATTTCTCAGCCCTGTGTCACTCGTACAACATAATGTTATGATCAACCTTAAAATCTTCGAAACCACAGACAATTTTAGTGTGTGCTACTGCTTCTCTTATCTGTCAGTTCCGCAACATGATGTCTAATTTACAACATAGCCAAACTGCATGTCTCATATTTACTGATTACACCCCTTAAAACGTCTCATTGCATTCTTGACAGGTTAAATTCTTGATATTAACCATCACGTGGGAGAGAGGATACCGGTCTCAACCCATGGCTGCATCAGATTGCATAAATTGGGTTCACATCTGACTCGGAATAATCTGAGTGATGCCATGAGTTAGTTCCACTCCTCGAATACTTTTCTTTCTTCCTCTCTTTCCTTTTTTTTCTGGACTTCACCACATAATACGTCATGGTACCAAGGACCCCGGCCATAATAACTCCTCCTATGACGGTGACAAGAATTGCAGCCCACTTATTATGCCTCCCAACAACAATGTAAGATGAAGCAATAAAAGCCACAGTAGTGCAAACAGAAGCCAGCCACATTAATTTATTGATTACCTCTACAACTCGTCTCTCTGATTTTATTTCGCCTCTGACTACAGTAATTTGCACTACCACAACAGCCAAAGATGTGAAAAGGGCAATAGCATTAGAAATGAAGAAAACCTTGAAGGATGGGCTGCTCACCATCACAGCCACCCCACTGTCATCATCACCTCCAGGAACTGTAAAAATTGCAGCAAAAGCAACTGTTGCAAATAGCACAGCCACCACAGTGACTGAATTAGTGGCATTGTTAATTCCTTCTCTGTGAAGCTTCCTAAGCTCTTTGGCAATGCCATTCATGTTTTTGTTGGTTTTACGAGCTTGTTCCAGCTGAGTGTGGACATTTTTCTTGATTTCTGAAACAGTCTTGCGAAGCTCGTCCCGTGGCTGATTCAATTCATTGGCTCTGACAGCACCATATCGAGTTAAGCAGTCTTTTATTTCAGCACTTTCTTCTGATAGAGGGAGATTTTCAGCTATGTCAAGGGCCGTTTTATGGTCTCTTGTTAGTGCATTGACATTTGTGTCACGGAGCAGCAATAACTCATGCACAATCTGCAATAATTTAATAGTATCAGAATAATCACATTAACACAATTAATTCCCTTCTAAAATGAGATTAAGAAACATAACAGTTACAGAAAGCCACGTCATCAATATACTTAAAACCAGAAACCTATACTCAGATTAAGGAATATCCCGTCATCATGCTAAGTTCAACTCTGTAGGCCTTTATCCATACAAAATATATCTTGTCAAGTTCCACACTGACACACTTTAACATGAAATTAAAGAGCGAAAATTCAGAAGGAGTGCATAGTTGTAAAATTTTGAAAACAATTACCAAGACATTCACTCTAATAATTATATGATTAAACTTTGAAAAGCAGATAGCAGTGCAGAGAGTGCATATTTGCATCAATTACAAATTATTACAGGCAGCCAACTTTAAACTTGATACACATACAGGCCAAGATTGGATATTTTTCGCTGCCTTGGAGCATGTTCGACTTAGGCCAATGGCAAAGCCTAAAAAAGAAGCAAAGTTGCTTCCTTAAGAAGTGGGTAAGAGGTGGACTTCGATAAATTCAATTTTTGTACTAAGGGTTTAAAAATGAAAAAACTTTGAAAGAGAAGCCAAACATCTTTTTTAGGCTTAGCCAAACATGCTCTTAGTCAGGTATTAAGTTGAACTTGGTGCAAAGCTTAATCTCAAACTGAAGCTTTTAAATTTGACAAATATTACTTCTTGAAAGGAACTAAATGATAGAACTTAGAGAAGCAGAAACTGTAATTAATACCTCAGCCCTTTTTTTTCTGGTGGCTACATGTAATGCAGTGTTGCCAAATTTGTCTGGAAGCATCACAATGGCTGCATCTGCTTGCAGAAGCAACTTCACAACTTCACAACTAACACCTTTTACAGCCATATGAAGTGCGGTCTGTCCTTTCTTATCAGTTCTTCTAGCCAGCTGAGTGTCTTTTTCAAGCAATGCTTTAACAATATCTACATGCCCTTGACGAGCAGCAAAATGTAAAGCATTCTTTCCATTTGATTTCGATATCTCTAGTAAGCTTGAATCCTTTGAAAGCAACTCATTAACAACTGCCAGGTGACCTTTTGTCGCTGCAGTAGTAAGAGGAGTTGCATTTGATTGACCAACTGTTTTGCTTAGCCCAGGGTCATGCTCTAGCAGTATCTGGACAATATCTGTAAAAAACATAGTAAATAAACTGTAACAGATAGGTGATGGAAGTACAGAATTACTTGAGCTTTGGAACAACATAACGTTGTCTTTGAAGAACAAAGCAAATACCATATGAATTATGTTTTTGGCAACGAAATTGACAGAATCAATGAAGCAAGCTAGGAAAAGATAAAATATAATTTTATAAAAATATAAAGATAAAACTGCAGATTAAGAGAATCTAAGAGTAAAGCTGCTAAACCATGCAATACATATCACTATCAGCAATACCATTAGCTCATATCATGCCATGTACTAAAACTGTCAATCTTCTGTTGGCAAGGGCACATCATAGTCGCCATCTTTAATGATTCTAACAAATCCCATTCCAATTATATCAGCAATACTATTAACAAGTTTCATGCCATTTACTGAAAAATATCAATCTCTTGCTGGAAAGCGCATATCTTAATTGCCATCTATAATTTTACTAACAATTCCTATTTCAGTTTCTATCATGCTGATCAATACTGCAATGAGTGAGGTTAACTTCACAAAGTGATTGTGATTTGATTTAAAATCATGCTTAGTGATCATCCCATCTCTGTATCCTTAACACCTACATCCTAATTGAATCTCTCAATTCAGATAGACATATACGGATGCAAAGGAAACTAATAATCTGATTCTGATCTAAACAATGAACATTGTAACCCCAAAAATCTATTACCATGATGGCCTTGCCTCGCAGCAATATGCAAGGGGTCGAAACACGACTTATTCTTGGAGGTTATCCCTTCCTTGGTAGTGTAAGTCAACAACTCCTTCACCACATCAATGTGCCCTCTCTCGGCCGCGGTGAAAAGAGGGGTCTCCCCCAATTCATTGACCTCATTCACCACAGCTGCCCTGATCTCCGCCAGTTCAGCATTAAACTCAGTCCCACTCGTTGTCTGCAGCATCTGCTCATCGATCTCACCTAATATCTGCCTTATTGCCGCCACGTCACCCTTCTGCGCCGCCAGATGCAGCTCCGTGTCATTGTGCCGCCCCGTCACCTGCCTCACGTACTTCTTCTTACCCGATTGGTCCATTCTTTTTCCGGAATTAGACAAGATCAAGGCTTTCCCGGAATTGGAAACCACTAGCGAGTTGCCGGAGTTCGATCCGGCTAATGTCTTGCCGGAATTCGACACTACCAGTGCCGGAACCCTCGGCGACGGCGACGGAAGTGAGGGTTCATTTATGACTCCCATTTCAAGATCCTTCCCGCCTATGAAATACAAAATATAAATCAGATAAAGAAAATCCTAGTTCAAGTTCTAATAAACAGGGGAGATAATTATTACAGATTATCTATACGAAGAGACAAGAATAAATTTACCTTCTTCAATGATGGATGCCATGGGGACAGAACGAAGTTTAACTATCTTGTTCTCTTTCTAATTAACAAATCACTGTTTTTTCTTGTTTGGTTTTACGTGGAGCTAATAATGTTCTTATCCATAATTGTATGTATAAATTAGAAGATTACAGACTTCGCCAGAGATCGGATCGGAGGGTGGCAGACGATGGAAGAAGTGCGGTGGCGGCAGTAGTTGAAAGTGAAGTTAAAAGTTAAAACAGTAGGTGGGCTGTGGGTAGAGAGGGACTGCACATGGCAAGCACATGGCAAGTTGTACGCCCCGGCCTAACTTTATAGTTAATTATAAAATATTTAATAACGACCCAGAAATTGACATTTTTAGGGCAAATTTCATCAGGGGTCACTGAACTTTCACCAAATTTTCAATTAGATATCTAAATTTTAATTGGTCTCAATTACGTTATTAGATTTCAATTTATTTTCAAATTACTCCACTTTGTCATATCGTCAACTATCGCTTCCAAATTAATGACAATTGCTTAGTTGACAGTTATATAGTTATTGATATTCAAGTTAAATAGGTTGTAGTACCTTATAAGCAAAAATAATAAAATGAAGATAATAATTACTTTAGATTAAAAGGTTAAACGATTTATCTTTTTTTTTTTTTTTTTTTATTCTAACATTTTTTGGCGTTGGCTAGCGGTAAGTTGACAAGTTATACAATGGTTTCGCGAAAAATTAATTGCAACATAATCGTTAAATAAGCAATTTTTATCAATTTAATAAACAACCGGTGACAGAGGGATGAAATTTAAGTTTAGCGATCCAATTGAAACTAAATGGAATTTCAGTAATTTAAGAACTTTCAATTTTTTTTTATTTATTTATTTGACAAACTAAAAGTTGATCTATTAAAGTCAATAAAAGTCATGAACGGACATTCCACCCAATATCAGAAATTTCCTCGTGCGTTCCAGTCATAGAAGTATGTCATTTTGGACCTCGATTTTATAAATTTACAAATGATTTATACATAGGAATAATAATTGAGTCTATCTATAATCTAAATCTATAATATATTAAAGTTATATAAAAGTATCAAATTATAGGAGAATCATTTTTTTGGACGATTTTAACACCTTACAATTTAATTATTTCAATAATACCTTATTTTTCATTTTTCAATATGTAATAAATATTACATAATTATTGCTCAATTAATTAATATTCATGTTAATCTAGATTCAATAAATTTTCACTTGATGGATCTTGAATTATATGAATCTAGAGTTATTATAGATGAATTTATTCATATTCATGTATTTATAAATTTTAATGAGTGTTTAAATTTATGTAGTAAAAATTAATTTTTATGTATTAAATGTAATATAAAAAAAACTGCTCATTTATATTATTTCATCATTACAAAAAATTTGAATCATAGAAATTGAGTTTTGAAAATACAATTTTCTTCTCTTAAATTTCTATACTAAATTTTATTTTCTTTAAGTCGTTCGAGACTCATTAAATTCTCCAACAAATTGGTACCAAATATACTTTTACATCACAATAAAGTAGTTTAGAATAACGTTTAACTTTGACTAATCTCATAAAATACGTAAATAATAATGAGTAATAGTTATAAATATGTAATTGAAATTAATTTTTAATTTTGATTGAATTTATAAATGGTATGCTTAATATGGTTGGCAAAGTATTAAAAAGCTTAGGAACCAGAATAGCAGGTCACTATAACACTCTTCCAACTAATTAATAAGATATTAATAATAAATAACCAACAAGACAAGGTGCTAAACAAAAGCAAGAAAAGATTCCTTCTTTATGACCTTTATACACAAATAAAGTCATATTACTAAGACAATTATATTCCCAAGAAGACAAGGGGCTACACAAAAGCAAGAAAAGACTCCTTCTTTAAGACCTCTATGCACAAATAAAATGATATTGCCAAATTAATTATATTCACATCACGATTTTTATTTTTTACATCACATATTAATTATATTTAGAGTTTTCAATTTTTACTTATTATAGTATTTATGTTCATAACGATTTTTCTCGACATTCTTTTTCTCAAACTTTCCATTAGTTAACACGTTTTGCATTTGGTAATAGTTTATGTCCAAAAAGTATGTTTAAATAGCGTATAACAAATTATTTTTCATCATGTTTTAAGAAAATAAATAAATAAAATACATGAACAAATATTTTTCCTCATTTTAAAGCATCAAAATAAAATATTTTGACATAAATCATCATCAATGACGAAATATACTAATTAATGGAAGATTGAAGATACAAATTCGACAAAAAATTTAAGCCCCTGTTTGACAGCTTTTTTAAGAAATAATGAGTTTTTGAATAGTAATTTTTTGGAGAATGTATAATTATAAGTTGGGAAAAATTTTGAATTTATGTGAAGAATATTTTATTATAAAAATGCTTGATAGAAAATGAATATGGAAAAAAAAAAAAAAAGAATTTTGAGAGAATGATTGTTAAAAAGGGGCAATGAAATAATTGCTATTTTTAATCAATTTGAAATAAATCCCTGTTTGATTGCCTTTATTTAAGAAAATGATCTTGCTATATATACATAAAAATTTATATAATAGACAGCATAATACCGCATGAAACTCAACCATTTGCCTGTTTAAATTATAATTAACATTTTTCCATCCAATTTTCTCCCTCCACATCATACTATGTAATTCATTTTGTATATTTCTTATGTACAAGTAGCAAAATCTTTAAGAAAAATAATGTTTTTGAATAGTGATTTTTAGGAAAATACATGGTTAAAAAGTAGAAAAGGTTTCGAATTTACGTGCAGAATATTTTATTATGTGAATATGTGATTGAAAATGAGTATGTACATTGTCAAATAGGAGCTATGTTTCAATTAGTATACAATTTTCGATCAAAAAATTTAAACATGGGTTTGTGTTTGCCATATCCTTATGTGGAATCCACTTTAAGGGCTCTCTGTCACGAGCTTGATTTCATCACTCCCCAACTACGTTAGCACCGTACGGCCTTAACACTCTACAACTCTTGTCTCTATGAGATAACGTTAAGTCAGTCTTACAACCCCCACAATAATTTAACTTACGAGGCTAAATTATGTTAAATTTGAATAGAGAAGGTAAATAGAAAATTATAAATAAAGGAACATACATATAAATTTGGGAAAACCTCTTTGTATAAATAGGAGAGAAAACTATTTACGATCTCTCAAGTATTTTCTCTCCACAACTTTTTCACTCAACATACCATTCATAGATGCGGGAGTTATCTCACTTTACTCCCATTCCATCAATGGGAATTTTCTCTCAACTCCATGTTTTTCTCCATTCATATGATTTACAAATAAGATTACGTCTCTATTTATATGCAAAATCTTGCAACTTGCCTTGTAACAGACTTCCCGTTCGACCCCCCAAGTTGCCACAATTCTTGGGGCAGCCTTTTCCTATACATGCGACCGGCAAACTAGGATGTGCAACATAAACACACTATAAAGAGGTAGAAAGCTTGCCTGTATATGGGAACATCATTAGTGCACTTTTGAGAATATAATGGTAAACTCATAATAAGTAATCTTGCCATGAAACATGGATAGGGGAGTTCTCTAGGTTCGTGACTCGCTTCCCCCACTGAATCAGCTAGCGCCCTCTTAGCGAATGTTTGCTTTTCCTCTCCGTGCATTGTATATCCCTCCCTGCTAGTAGGTCAGAAAATTTATCCATAATCACGGCACCATCCTTTTGATGTGTGGTAGTCTACGGTGTCCCTGTACATCTTCGGAGCATTAACCCGTACATGCCGATTTCAATACCGCATTTATCCTCTGTACCTCTGCATTGGTTCCTTAAGTGGAAGGCTCCTTTGGCCGCTGCGTCACTATGCATGTCGAAGAATTCCATGTTGCCCCACTATTTAATTTCCACAACAATTCCTTCGTCATGTTCTTGCGAAACAAACATTCATGCAATAGGCAAAACTGCATAAAGTATGCCCTAACTTTCATCATCCTCAAAGCTTTTCATCATTGGTTTTGCTTACTTGTCAATCGCTTTGCCACATGTTGGCGGTCCCAAAATCATCTCCACATGAACGCATGTCATTAACCTCAGGTAAACCAACAACCAACATTTGGAGCGGGCTGACTTTGATACCACTTGTAACGGACCGTCCATTCGGCCACCAAGTTGCCATAGTCCCCTAGGCAGACTTCCCTCACACATGCAGCTGACAAGCTAAGATTTGAAACACAAGCACAATATAAGGAAGTGGAAAGCTTGCCATCGTACCTTATATGGGACATTGTTAGTGCACTTCCGAGAATATAGCAATAAATCTGCAATAAGCAATCTTGCCATACTATATGGATAGCAAAATTCTTTAGGTCCATGACTTCTCGCTGACCAAGTTGAAGGCTTTGGCTGCCACGCTATGGGTGGCTTGCACGGCTCTCTTTATTATGTCACCACTCTTGCTGGTAATATATTAAACATTATCTTTTTTGTTTTTTTATTGATTGGTTACTTTATTTGCTGAATTGCTGGAATGAATTAATGTTATGTAGTTGTTTACGGGTAGGTATCGGGGGTGATGTGTTGAATAGATGGCGGATGCTAATTTTGAAAAACTTAATACCTCTTAGGCCCCATGTTTAATGTTACCAAAGAGAAAAAAGATTGATAATTTTATCCTTGATAGGTGTTAAAAAGTAGTTGAAAAAGTTGGAGAAGATTTTTGGATAACAAGTATGGAGATCAAAGTGTAATCCAAGATGCCAGAGATTGATTTCCTTTTTTATCTGTTAAATTTATAGCATGTTTGGAAATTCGGTGCTTGCATGTTCTAAAGAACACTTACCGGAAGGACAATCTAATAAAATTTTCCAACATTTTGGAAATATACTATAATTCTATTCAATTAAAGGTCTGTAGCATCAAACATTGGACTGGCTACTTGATTTGAGACCTTGGAAAACGAGAAGTCCACACGAAAAGTAATCATACATCAAACATTGGACTAAGGCCATCTCCACCCTGTACCAAATTTTGCACTATTTTGCACCAAATTTTGCACTAAATCTTGCACCAAACCAAAATTCTTCTCCAACCATTACACCAAAATATATATATAACTAAATCATAACTTCATTAAATTAAAAAATATATTGATTACTATATTATCACACATCATATATATTATGTTAAATTGACAAAAATAATTGATTATATTATTAATTTATGATAAACAATTACGTTAAATTTACAAAAAT